TTAGTAATATATTAGCCCAAGCTTGTGCCTCTCATATATTACATAAACTCACAGAGATAATCTTCCATGAACGTGCAAATTTGAGACTTGCTGACCTTTTTAACCCCGTACCGCTGTTTCACTGCGCTCCCCCAAATTCTGAAGGTGTTTCCTGCATCCTCACAGACTAATGATGGGGAATTAAAAATAGTCCAGGAAAAATATCATTTTAATCAGTTTCTCATTTACTGCATGTCCATTGGTCTCATATAAAAGAAGATGGTGACAGGAAATGACATCATCACCCTGGCTTTGTGTGAAAAGGTCTATGAGGATTCAGGAAACACCTTGAGAATCTGGGTGAGTGTTATGAATCTAAGCTACGAGGTCAAAACAGTCAGCATGTTTTAAATTTGCACATTCTCTGTGACTCGAGGTAACACATGAGAGCCACTAGCTGGGGCTAGTGGTGTATTATAGGGCTGTATCAGACTAAGGATTTTGTCAGTTGACTGTCAGTCGGCATTTCACTGCAACTATTCGACTAATATGGAGCAGCCCTAGTACATTAGCTAAAAAAAAACCTTTTGAAATCCTGGACCGCCAGGTGGCTATAAAGAGGCTTAAAGTAGGTTTAGTTTGGCTCTGAAGCGCAGTGAAGAGGTGCTGAAGTGGTATTTTGAAAAATGTGACTCAAAAGGCTAGTGAAAAAGGAACTGTTTCATTTCATTTTTATGTCATTCTGTAGACAATGTCCTGTTGAAATTGTGTCTGAGCAACACCATTTTCAGTAAACTGCAAGCAGCTTTGGTCTAATCTTGGAGATTTCTGCTGTCACTCTAATACAATGGAGATGGAATTTAATAAATAAAACAAAAGATGCTAGTTTCTTTCATTTGGGTGTCCTGAACCTTTAAGGCTCATATGATGACAAAAGTCATATTATTTGAGCTTTTTACCCAGATGCAGATCTTCTGTGTTTTTGGGGTCTTCTGAAGTCAAACCCTGTATTTTTCTTTTCTGTGTAACATGGATTGTACTTTATTCCTCTGTTTTTCACCTTTCCTGTCACATTCCGCTGTAGACTGTCAGTAGAGCTGAAACAGCTTGAACATCGTCTTTTTTTAAGCCCAATGTGTTGTTTGTTTCATAACCTAAAGTTTCTATCAGCTCCTACACAACTTTCCCTTCACCACAATGTCCTCTGTACATGATTCGTCTCTTCCCTCTTTCAGTTTCACCGATGCCGCCTTTCTTTAACACCTTGCTCTGTTTGTCCACATTTATGGCACCTCTCAAGCTTCTCTTCCTTCACTGTCTCGTCTCTCTGCTCTCCTCAGTCTCCATCTTTGGGCGATCTGTTTGCCTCCCTCTGTTCCAGACTAAACATCACGTCCGTTCCCAGACAGAAGAATTGTGTCTCTCTCTGCCTGCATTCCTATCACGTTCTTCTATTACAAGTCCAGGCAACAATCAGCATCACACTGACTGATAGCTATTACTACCAGTACAACTATAAACAATACTACTGGTGGGCTTTTTATGGGCACAGCTTGGTGTACCTTTGGCCTGTTGACATTTTTCATGGTCTGGATAATGCCTGTTGAAATGCTACAGTAGTTTGGAGAAGATCTTTTCCAGTTTCAACACCACAGTTCCCCTGAACACAAAGAAATAGCTTTCCCAGTGTGGTGTGGATGAACTTGACTGGCCTACACAGAGTCCTGACCTCAACCCCACCCAGCACCTCTGAGATCACAACATCAGTGGCCAAGCCCACTAGTGCTCTCATAGCTGGACAGACGCAGAAAGTAGTGGAAAGCCTTCCCAGAAATGTGGAGGTAGATTAATACTCAGTGGCTTGAAATCACATGTTTAAGTCACAAAATGAGTACCGGTATATTATGCAGGCGTCCTCCATAATGCTAGCACAGCTGCTACTTAAATTGTTTCGACTACTGTTGTAATTGTTGCTCTTTGTATTATTGCTAAATCAAGTGTTAGTACTGCTGTAGCTACAAAAACCATTACTACTGCTATTACTGCTACTGCTGCTTAATGGTATTGCTGGTGTTTAATCTGGCCTGTCAGTGACCTGTCTGTGTTTGGGACAAATGTCATTTCAAGTAGGCAGTACGGCAAATTGGCAACAGCAACATGAACCCTTCCCTCTGCACATGAAGGCACACATTACTCATCGGTTTCATTCTTAATGATCATTGCTGTCAAACTGGAAACTGGAAAGTTATAATAAGTTTCCTCCAACAACCTGAGGCTGATAAACCTTTGGTGGAAAAAGGCTCATGGAGCCGCTACTGTTTATATCTGTAACACATTGTTTTTCAAAAGTTTTTTTTTCCAGGAAACAATAAACCACATCATCAGCTAAACATTCTTTTTAAGTTGGTGTGTGGTTGAGCAAATATTCAGTTCAATATTTATGACAAATATTTTCCTGCAGCTCCTCGTTGTGATGATTTGCTGCTTGTCTTTACTGTGTGTGATAGTGAACTGAAAATCTTTAGGGTTTTTCACTTCTGTTGTATTGATTGATAACATATTCATTAGTTGCAACCCCAGTTCGGTTTATTAACACATATAACACATTAAAGAAATAAACAGACAATCCCTACAACAAGGGACAGGGAACCTTGGAGCTCAGCCTTTTTGCTGTGGGTTGGCTGTGGCTCATGAGGTAGGGTGTCTGGTGTTTTTGTTTTAAAAACTGTTGATCAGTTATCAAAGTTTCAACCTGTTAATGAAATACTATTTACCTACTGCCACCTCTAGTGTTACTACTGGGGTGGGCAGTCGTCTTCTGACCAGCAAGTTGGTGGTTCGACTCCCGGACTCCCCACATGCCTAAGTGTCCCTGAGCAAGACACTGAACCCCAAATTGCTCCCGGTGGCTTGACTAGCACTGTTGTGTGGCAGCCTTGTCGTCATTGGTGTGTGAATGGTGTATAATCTCCCTGTAAAGCGCTTTGGCCAGTGCATAAAAGCACTATATAAATACAGTCCATTTACTAATTAGAACTGCAACAGTTAATTGTTTAAATAAGATGCTGATTAGCTAGAAATGTATTTGCAACAATCCAGATAATCTATTACCAGTTTTGAGTCTTTAAGTTAGAAACTATGTGACTCCAGCTTCTCTGCTGTGAATGTTTGCTGGTTTTCTTTGCATTTAAAGCTTGAAACCTGAATATTTTGGGGTTTGAGCTGTTGCTCTGACAAAAAGATATCTGAAGTCAACCCTTTGCCCTCTGTAATGCCTGGTTGGGACTACACGGTTCATTTGATCTGATACTGTATGACAGAGGGGTGTTTGAAAAAGCATAAAAGGGGGGTGGGGGCCAACCGTGGCCCTGTCTGTGGGTTTGCACAAAGATGGCAGCAGCCTGTTGTCTCTCCTTCACAGGGATCTAGAAGTAGCAGTTAAAATAAGTGTTTTAAGCCTGTAGTCAAACTGAACCTAGCTAGCTAGCCCTGATACAGTAGGCTAGCTGCTTCACCAGGCTGACTGTGAAATTCACTATGCTAACATTAGCTGGCTCGCTGTGCTATTTCATGGATATTGCTCAGTCTAATATGCCCAAAATGCTGTGAACAGAAGAACCATCTTTTCTCTTGTTGGTCACCTCCTAGACTCTGTGTCAGGACGTCGTGAGTTGCTGTTTACTATGACAGTATTTGCCAGTTCCGGCGCCCTACGTCCATTGTGTCGGGCTGTTATCAGGCTTAAATCGTGTAGTCTGAACCGGGCATTAAACTTTTCGGACATGTTATGGATCCTGGGTAATGTATTAACTGAGGAAAAATGACCGACTGACAGTAAATAATGAAAATAATCCTCAATTGCCGCCTTACTATTAAAATGACTGAGTAGAGCTTTAATGTCAAAGCTTCCCTTCAGTGATGTTGTGATCTATTTCACAGATTGATTACTCAGTTGTTCATGGCATCTGTATGTGCACTGTCTTCTCCAAGGCTCTGAAGCTTTCTGAGTCAGGCTGGCTGATGACCTCAGCTGGACGGACGCGCTCACACGCACACACACACACTTTCATCTATAAACGACCTTACATAACTACCAGTGTATACATTATCAGCATGTGCGTCCCTGAGCTGGGACGTAAAGACGGACACATGAAAGCACACAATATAAACACGCCACCAGCACAAACACGGGGATTTCCCGGATACGACCACACACACACACACACACACACACACACACACACAGTCTGGCCCGCGCACACATCCACGCACGCAGGCAAAGGGCTAGACAGACGTCTGGCTTTGCTCAACGTGACGACGCGTCGATAAAACGTCCAACTACCCCGTTTTTCATCCAACACCTGGCGTCCACGACCGAATACGGCAACTACCGACAGTCTGGACACACTTTAAGTCTCATTTTTACCGGTAAACTTCTCTAGTGAAAAGGCTGGGTTCACAAAAACAGCAAGACACAACCACCGGACACAAAAAAAATCACAGTATCTATCAAACTTTGCTTCTGTAGGAAATAAAAGAACTCAAAACAGCCTGAAAATAATATGAAGGAATCAAAAAAGGAGATTAGTTTATTACGGTTTACACATTTGGTTCAAGTTCAAAACCAAGAGGACGAAACGTAATGTTCTTTAATTAAGACAGAGTTTTCTATCAGCTACTCTTATACAAACTAAAACATCACGTAAACGCAGGAGACACAAAGCATAAAAAGTCCATTTTACATACTAAAAGCAATGCGTTAAAATGAGAGTGATTTAGAAATAATCCCTGAAACACAACTCAACACCCCCCCAGCCACCATCCATAAACTGTTCTCAAAAATCTGAAGACATTTAGCGATTTGACCACTTTCTGTGCTTGTGAGGTGCAAATCTGAGCCGATGTGACACAAACTTGTTAGTCCAAAACCGTGCGTGTAGCCTCACAAGCACGACGCGCGCACACAGAGCCAATGTCAGTGAATCGGAAGCACAGAAAGTCATGAAAAGCTTGTTACTCACTGATTTCCATGCTCTGGAGGGACGTGTAGCGCTTGCAGTTACAAGTACAGGAGACATTGGCGGCGGTGGCGTTTAAAACACCCATCAAGTTCAACATCTAAAGCCTCCTAAAGTCACACATAAATACTCCAGAAGAGGAAGACAGAGACGGGCTGGAAGGGAGGAGGCGATGGGAGAGGAGACTTAAACAGCCGCACCAAACTCCAGCCAAAAAGTCCTCCCTTTCTCTCCAGCCTCCTCTCCTTCCTCTCAGGTCCGTCCGTCCTCCTCCTGTCTCGGTTCTCTCCTCCTCCTCTCTCCGGTTTCTCCTCCGCTGAGCTCTATCTATCTATCTGTCTGTCTATCTATCTATTTATCTCTCTGCGTGCCGGAAAAGTGCCGGTACAGCCGTGAGATGTAGTTTGAACGGTGCTAAAGTCTAATTCATCTATTCTCTAGCTTAAATGTCCGCTTTTCCGCCGAGTGACCGACGACTAAACTGCCAACAGACGTGTGTCTGGTCCTCTCTCTCTCTCTCTCTCTCTCCCACTCTCCCCCGGTGACACTGTGTGTCTGTCTCATTTCCGACTTCCACTTTCTCCCACATCACAGGTCTGCACCGTGCAAACGCACAGCCTACAGACAGAGGAGGAAAAACATAAAGTAGAGCCAGTTTTACTAAATGTACAGCACAGCAGGGAGTCTACAGACCTGACAACCACAGCAAGTACAAATGTTAAGGTCACAGACAAACCCTGAAATCTTTATTTGTCTCTCTTTTTTCAGCACATCAATACAGACTTATGTAAGAAACAATTTTATAACCTAAAATTATTAATGTGAGGCAGCCTTTATATATTCAGAGCTCTCTGTACACCCTGTCACTTAAGTAAAAATAATAATGTGCAGTGTAAAACTACAAGTGACAAGTGGAGGCCTGCACCTAATTAAAGGTATTAGCATTAAAATACATATAAGTACCAAAAGCATTCATTATATTGTTGGATTCTACTTTGTGTAAACCTCACAAACAGCCCACCTTGTGCTGTTACTGATGGACTGGTGTATCAGACTGGTGCATTGTTTTTTTTACCAGTAAACTGCCAAGTGACATTGCCTAAACAACAGTGGCGCCTAGCCATAGAGCCTGGCAGGCCCCCAGGAACCAGCGCAGGAATTACTTCATACCCTCGAAAGAATTCACTAATTTGTATTCGCGAGTTATTGAATTTGTCTGTACAAATGACATATCCATGCTGACAGGTCACTTCTTACTTATTTATACATCATGCACCTAAATTACTCATTTGTGCCCACAAATCAATAAGCACAAGTGATTAATTCATGCACTCAGATTACTTACTATAACTTTTGCTCTAGAATTATTAAGTTGTGCACACACATGCTGACAAATGACTGTACACCACTTCACTTGTGCTCACAGTTTAAATCAGGTTCAACTATAATTTTAATATTTTAACATGCCTGACTGATGACAGAGATAATTGCAAAAAGGGGGCGGGGCAATTCAAGGTCATAGACCACCTGTTGTCATGTGACCTTACTTTCACAGGCTGAGCTAATCTTATCCAGTGATGAAGACCGTGTTAAAATACTCAGGTAAAACTAGGTCAGGAATGAACTATAAAGCATATGACAAACAAATTTTTATGCCAGGTCTATTCCATAGCTCTTTTCTTTGACCCATCAGCTGCATCTCGGGGTCTTTAACCTGTAACATGTTAGTTCCTACTGCTAGGAAAAAAACTTATTTTGCACAAATTACTTGTGTGCACATCACAGTACTATTAGAAATCAGAAATACCTGAGACAGGACAATTTCTCTTTTCTCGATACAGTTCAATGCACGATATGTTGGGTATGATTCAATCGTGATACAATGCCAACTATGTTTGACTAGCCACAGCGTACTTGTACTTTGTTCCCACTTTCTCTAGTTTGACTATGTAAAGAAGAACCAGATATATTTGCTTTTGTCATGTTAGGCTGGTGTATGGAGACCCCGCGATATACATGAATATCGCTTCAAAAAATGATACATATAGTGACGTCTTTTACCTCGATATATTGAATTTTAATATATTGTCCCATCCCTAGTAAATACACATTGTATTTTGTATGCAATCATTCACTTACACAACTTAATTTTGCAATAGGATTTTGTCACTGTATTATTACATTGAAACATGAATGATAATACTGAATTATTGCTAAGCCCTAATATAAAAAATCACCTTAACATATTAAATTTGCTCACAGTGAATATGATGCCTGTTATTTTAGTGTTATGTTGTTGCACAGTAAAGCAGTCCATCTGTTTCACAGTCAGCTGTGTGTGACAGTTGGCCAAACTAAATCTAGATTAACAGGTTCATCTAGAGGGGTTAGCCTTCAGTGGCTAACAACATCACTACAAAAGCCTCCCACTGGTGTTTGGGAGCTTTATTAGCCTGTATTTTGTGGCCGTCACTAATGAAAGGCCAAACCCTGGGTGGAATAAACACTTTTATAGCTTTAAGCCTTTTGACAAACCATGAAAGCACAGTGGATCATACTGCTACCTATAAGATGTTGCCAAAATCAAAGCACCCTTTCCTCATTTTTATTACTCATTCGTTCTTTCAACATGTCCATGTAACCTTTAAAATATTAATCATCCTAAAAGGGCTGTAAAACCTGTGTCAAAATGTTGACTGTTAGTGTCTTGTGTCTACAGTGTCTGAGTGAGTGCAGTGGATCGAAAGAGCCAGACGGCATTACGTCACCTCTGTGACTGACAAGCCCCAGGGACCAATGAGGCGAGACTGTAACAGCACGTCTCGTCTGAGTCAACTTTCTAATTAGGTCTTCTTAATAACTGCAAGTTTACAGCTGCATGTTAGACTGGTTTCATAGCCCAGCTGGAATCATCAATGCCCTAATCACATACACAGAAAAAAAACACACTACCCACACTCACTGCTCAGTGTGCACGGAAAATACAACATGTTACATGATTTGACTTGTGCAAGGAAAACAACAGTTTACATGTTCCAGTGTGTGGCTGAGAAGAAATGAACAGGAAGAAGCTCAGTCTTCAGCAGAGAGGGGATCAGACCTGTGGCCTTTGAGACACTGAGAAGGTTTTCTAGCTATTTCTAACTCAGTCCAGTACTTGTCTGTTTTGTTTGTAGGCTCCATCATAACTAAAGAACATTGCCAAGTAAAATCTTTCCTGTAGTTTGTGTAAGCTTTAACATGTTTATTTAAATTAGAGTTGAAGCAGTCAGCTCAGACTGAACACTAAACATCCTGACTACCGCTGGTTTAAAGAGAATGGTAACAGATTTCAGACAAACTTAGATAAATTAAAATCAGGACAACCTACCAGCATGATTATGGTTCAGCTCAACTGGATTGCGTAGTGGCAGTCTGTCAACCTCATGAATAAGATACACCTGTGTAAAACAGCGTGCGGGGCTGCTGCTGCCGCCGCCCGCTGGCCTCCAGCTGCACAGACACAGGTGGTCCTGTGGGGTAATGGATCATCTTTGAAGAGGTAATTTAGAACATGTTATATCTCCTGCTCTGAGCTCCTGGTGCTGGTCTCAAGAGAATGAACTTTAGGGAAAGCACACCTTTTTGCTTTCTTGTCAAGAGTTAAAGGAAAGTTAAATTCAGCCAAACACACTTTGGTATTCATACTGCAGTACTTTATTAATAAAACAAATGAATAAACAGAAGGTAAAATTCAGTCAGAGGAGCTGCACATTGTACTGATGCTAATGTTTCATTTTAACAGAGCGCTTTGTCAGACATGGTCAGATCTGACACAACAGAGATCTAAGACAATTAACCCGCAGTGGCATCGCTGCCAGAATAGGTTGACTGAGGTGACTTGAATTGAACTGAATAATTTTTTTTACTGTGTGAAGCATTTTTCCATGCCCGGCCTACAGTACACAGGCTCACAGGATCCTTAAGCCAAGAAAACATCCTGTCACTTTCCCACACTTTACACACAGCCAGCACATAAACTAATCATCAGCCATATCTTTTCTTCATCTGTAACCCCAAAATAATCTAATATTTTTCATGTTCTATTAATATTCTTAAATTCTCATAGCAGGAACAGTATGATTCATCCTCCCAGTTCACACAGCTCATGTGTTCTGGCCACTTGGTGTGTACACATTCTCCACAGTACAACAAGAGATCTTTGACTTTGTAACAGGGTTGAGTATCATCAAAGTGCTTTATCTGAATATAGGTCAATAATTTTGGTTTTTAGTAAAATGTTTTTAACCACTTCTTTTAAAAATATTAAATTAACAGCATCCTAATTACATTAATATTGCACTTTAGATTGTTATTATAGACATAGATGCCATAGTATCAATACTGTATTGGCGCTATATGTAGTCACTACCTACGATAAATAAATAAAATGATTGATTGCAAGCTGCTGTTCTTATTTGTGCTGTACACTATTTTCTAATAGTGTTGCAGTAGATATACTGTATGTATTATTATAAAATAGTCAAATAGATTTTAGTTAACTATGCATCTCAGAGTAAGACCACTATACCACTGCGATGCACTCTAGTGAACACATGCTGTTTGTTTACGGTAAATCTGCTCATTTGTCATTTTAATGCCATGTAGTAAATCCGTACAGCTGGAGCTCCTCTGCCTGGCACAGGCAGCGGGCCAAGGCACTGATTGTTGAGCTGGCGGTGAGTCAGTTTACCGTCTGAAGGGGCTGAATCACCAGAATGGACACCCAGGTGTGGTCACTCTTTGTCTCTCCCTGCCTTTGTCTTTCTCACTTTATTGCACCCTTTCTTTGAAGACTGAAGAGCGTGAATCATGGGGCTGTGAATTTGCCCGTCTGACTCTCTTCAAGAGTGAGTGCATCTATTTATCGACTGTCTTCTCTGCTGTTCAGACTGAGGAAGGCACTGTATTAAAAGAAGGGGTTACACTGGTTGGGCCCTGTTTTTTTCAAGCACCAATGAGAAACACAATCCTGGAAGGGCAGTTGGAGCAATTCGACCTCCTGTTCGGAGGCTTATCAGAAGCTAAAACACTACACAGCTGTGAATAACAGTGCGACACAGGATTTCACAACAAAGTTATTATGGTGGCAATTTTATCCTCTGTTTGATGATTGTGAGATAACCAACAAAACTGCAGTGTTCCTGTTGCAAAGTTATTTACAAGGAAGGTGCACTCATGCATATTTGATTTCAAATAAATATTATGTGTATAAGCTAATAAGTTTTGAAGGTAACATTATT